CCGCCAGCCCTTCTCCAGCCGCTCCAGCGCAGTCTTCGACGGCGCTTGCATCTACGCCCTCGCGATGTAGCACTCCGAAGTGCGGGGCGCCAGCGGTGCAAGAAAGCACATCTCGAACGGGCGCGCAATGCCCCATGTGCATCGTCGGGGTCTTTCCTTGCGCTACGGCCACCTGCAACTTCCGCGTCCCTCGACAACACGGACAGCATTGCCTCGTCTGCCAACCGCCCGCCCTGCTCCACTTCTGCCGCGCGCCCCCGTGCACGAACGTAGTCGAGTCGCCAGAGGACACTTTGTGTTGTGTACTTCGTCCTGTTTCCCACGCTCGGCGCGTAGGTGCGACGGCCGTTCCACCCCTGTCTCAGCAGGCCTGTGTCGAACGTGCGGGCTGTCCACACCGCAACCACTACCATCCCTCTCCAAACGATCCTACGAGCAAGCCGAACGCCCTTGTAGTTCGTCTGGGTGCAACGGTGTAGCTCAACGGAAGTCGTCCGACGGCCTCTGCATCGCGTGCATTCGGAAAGGGAAGCCATGTAGCAATCGTGCCATATTGGGTGCGTTTTTCTCGTGGGCCCTCTCGGCACCGTGGTGACATGTAGGCACTGTTGCCTCGCGGGGCCCCCTTGCCAGGGGCCCGGAAAGGCCGGCTGCCGCGCCCCCGCCCGCCATGGCGTGCGACGCGCAGTGCCGCACAACAGCGGCATGTGCGAACGTTGCTTTAAACCCACATGTTCCTTCCCACTGTGCGACAGAAAGTTGACGAAAGCAATGAACGCCACCGGATACTGCCCCGACCACGTCCGACATGCCGCGGTAGCCACCGCCGCCGCCGGGCCCCATCATCCTCCGCCGTCGGGGTCTTCTGGTGTCCCACACGCCCGTCCACGTAGCGATCCGTTGCAAGCACTCCGCCAGCAGGTGGCGGCAGCCGTCCGCATGTACCTCCGAGCACGTCACTCGCCGAAATGTTCCGTGCCGTGGTGTCGCCTCAAGTCCACCCGCGTAGCACTTCCGAACTCGTCCAGCTGTCCGCCCGCCTGCGCAGCGCATCGGAACTGGTTCGCAGAACCCGTGCCTGGGACTTCTCTTGGCGTACGCACCGGCCACCGCGCCGGCTGGTGGTCGACAGACGAATGGTGCAGCAACCGCGTTCCGAAAGCGTCGCTCTCTCCGACCGGCCACTTTCAAGGAGCCTGCGCAACGTGCGGGGCTCTGCACTTCTTCGCCGAACGCGCGCGTTGCCCGGCAGCACGCAGAAAGGACTTCGGCGCGTGCTGCAGGTACGGAGCCCTGGCTGGCATCCCCCTACTGCCTCCCGCTCCGGCCGAAATGGCTCAGCTCCTTCGTCCGGGTCCTTCCCACGACCACTTCATGCAGCACATTCGGTCGTGCAAGTGCGCCCTTGGATTCGCATCCTTCAACAGCGAGAGCACTGTCGCCGCACGGACACACGAGCTGCTGCTGTACGTGTGTGAGTTGTTTTCTCGAGGCCCCCCCCTGGGAATGAAACAAAGGGTATGTAGGCAGCTGAAGTGGGATCATGCGGAATCCTATTTCGACCTGCGGCCGTCTGTATGTTTCATGGTTGCACGCCGAGTGGAACACGTCCACCGCGTCGACAACGAACATACGTTTTCGCGTTGCATGCCGAGTGGAATTCGTCCACCGCGCCCGCAACAGCTCCTCTGCCGCGTGGAATGTGATTCCATTGGTCCGCCAAAAAGGGTGTGGAAAGGAAAGGGGTTGAGAGGGCTTGCTGAGAGGAGAATGCAGGATTAAGGTCGACTGGGGCTCATGGCGTGCATCCGTGGGGGCATAGAGGGATGGTGCGGCTTGCTGATTGATCATGATTGATAGAAGTCTTTCTGCTCTCCGATGCTGCGAACCCCAGACCGTCGCCGCATCTTGCTAGAACCAAAGCGCGCGCGCAGCGCGCGCGTGGTTCTAGTATATATTTGTATATATACATATATATATATATATATATATATATATATATATTCACGAATATGAATATGAGTACGATACCAGGTCGAGGGTTAACAGCCCCCCCCTTCGCTGGGATGGGTCCTACGGTTCCACAAACCCCCCAAATGGGATAGGGGACGCGACGACGCCGACGCCGTCGACGTCGACGACGACGACGCTGACGCTGACGCCAACGCCAACGCCGCCGACACTAAGGCCCACGCCGACACCAACGCTGGGGGGAGGGGAGCGATCCCCTTCGCGAGATCTTCGCGAGGCTCACTGGCGTGACCATCCAGCGGGGGGGGGCGGGTTCGATGCCATTTGCATTGGAAGGGGGGGCCTGGATCATATACATAGTTTTATATGTATATATATATGTGTGTACAGACCTAAACGTATACATATACATTCGTGAACACAAGTGCACATATGCGCATATGTGTATCTATATACACATGCAGACACACATGCAGACATTCAGACATGCATGCATGCATACATGCATACATGCAGACAAACACTCATAGGTGCATACATATATACCTACATAAATGCATGCATTCCTACATACGTATATACATACATACATGCATGCATACATACACACATACATACATACATACAGCCAGAAAGGCAGGCAGGCAAGCAGACAGACAGACAGACAGACAGGCAGGCAGACAGAGACAGACAGACAGACAGACAGACAGACATACAGTTGCACACATGTATATGCATACATGCATACATACATACGTGCATACATAAAAATACGCATGGATACATACATATGTGCGTGCACAGGCATACACACATGAGTACACAGCTATGCGTGTGTATGCATCCAGACCTACATATACATATATATATATATATATACGCGCTCCCATACCATACATATTCACGCACTGCATACCATTACACACCATACCATAATGTAATACATCATAACGTGGCACGCATGTCTACATACCTGTATACATTCCTACACCCCTAGCTACCTATCTGCCTACATATGCGCATGTCTATACATACACATGCATACATACATACATACATACATACATACATACATACATACATACATACATATAGATATACACGCACGCACATACCTACATACCTACATACATACATACATACATACATACGTACATACGTACATACCTACATACATGCATGCATGCATACATACATACATACCGACCTATCTACCTACCTACCTGCATACATATATGCATACATACACACATGCATGCATGCATACATGCATACATACACATACAAGGAGCACACCCGGGCACGGTTATCTACACATGCACACACATGGATGCAGTATGCGGCGAATCGCAGGCGCCCCCTACCTTCAGGAATCGCCCATGTGGCCGAGTCTTGTTGTAAGAGCTCTGTCAAGCTATCGGACCATGTGTTCCCCCAGCCACTGTTGAAACCTTTCGGAACACTTGGGGGAGCATGGCGGGGAAGATCAGGACGAGGAGGACGAGGAGGGGGCATCCCCTGCCTGGGAGCTTCCTGGAAGCTTCCTGGGAGGCATATTGGGGGCCTCCTTGGGCCATCTCGGGGGCTTCTTTGGCGGTCGTAGGGCATTACTGGCCCGTCTGACGCCGTCGGAAGCGGTCTTGGGGGGCTTCTCTGGGCCGACTGGGGGTCCTCTTGGGGTGCTCCAGGGCCGTCTTGGATGCTTCTTCGGCGTCTTGGAGGCCTCTTGGGCTGTCTTGAGGCCCGCTTGGGGCCGTCTTGGGGGCCTCTTGGGCCGTTCTGGCGCCATCTTGGAGGCCTCTGGGGCGATCTTGGGACGATCTCTGGGGGCTCGTGGGCCGCCTCGGGCCGTCGAAGGGCCGAGAAGAATCACATGCCCTCGTCGTGGCGATCTCAGGGGGCGCTGGGGGGCAGTTTTGGCACCACTTCTTTGGAGTCTCTAGGGGGCCTCTTGTGAGCGTCTTTGGGGCCTCTTGGGGCTTCCTGGGGGCCTCTTGGGGGGTTCTTGGGACCTCTGGTGGGCTTCTTGGAGCCTCCTGAGGGCCTCTCGGGGCCGAGGGCTCAAAATGCCCGTTCGGGTCCTCCGTCTGGGCTTCCCCCTGGAGCCGTCTTGGGGACCTCGTGGACCTCGTGGGCCGCCTGGGGGCCCTCTTGGGCCGCTTGGGGGCCCTCTTGGAAGTGTCTTGAGGCGATGTTGGGAGCCTCGGAAATCCAAAAAGGCGAGAACGCCGTAATCATCCAGATCATTCAAACATATTAAGACATCAATGATTTGTGCCTCTTGGGAGTGCTCTTGGAGGCCTCTTGGGGCGTCTTCGAGACCTCTTGGGCCGTCTGGAGGCCTCGTGGGCGTCTTGGAGCGATCTTGCGGCGATTATGTGCCATCCTGGACCGTCTTGACCCGCTTGGGGGCCATCCTGAGCGAGGGGACCGCTTTTGAGGCCCACGCTAGAAAGCCCAGTACGGCCCGAAAGCGCCCGGGGAATTGGGAGCCCAGGCAGTTAAGAAGCTAACAAACCATGTACATTCCAGGGCTGCATGAGCCTTGGTGCACTCCACGTCGTGCCAGAGGCACGGTGGCGGATATACAAACAGGTTTGTGTATACAGATAGATATACATATGTTTCTGTGTGTATATAGATGCCTGCGTGTACAGTTATGGTTGTAACTATTCGTTGGTATATACGGATAGAGTTGTACATTACCGCAAACATGTACATATATATACGCACGCACAAATAAACCCATATACATTCAGTTTTATATGTAATACGTCCATACAAATACCTAGACCAACACACTTACATGTACGTGTACATGAACACGTGTATATATATATATATATATATAACTCATGTATACCAGTACCGATGTCTGTACCTAGACATGTACATACGTACACCTATTTTCATATATATATATATATATATAAATATGTGTGCATACACATATGCATATACACAATTGTACACGGATCCATCTACATATACATACAGATACAGATATACACGCTGCCCGCTGGACCGAGGCTGGAGCGCACTTTGTCGACAACCAGCGGCGCCCCCCCCCAACCCCGCGCCCCCTCCGCGCCGCCGCCCGAGCCCCTCGCTCCCCTCCAGAGCCCGGGCGTGGGCCCGACGGAACGGGTTCCGCTCGGGCAGGCCCTCCAGGCGAGCCGCACAGACAAACGGGAGGGCGAGGAGGCAGACGAGGACGGCGACGGCGGCGAGGACACTGGGGGAACGAAGAGTGGCATGAACATAAGATCGCGGAGGTCCGCGCGGATTCCCTGGATCCGCGTTGCACGCGGCGCCACTGGCACCGCCAGGGGGCCCCAGCGCCGATCCGAGAAATCCGCGCGGACCTCCGAGTTTTTATGCTTATGAAATTTCTCGTTCCACTAGACACGGACGCGGCGGTGTCTCCTCGCCTTCTGGGCTCCTCATCGCCTCGGCGGGAGGGCAGAGGAGCAGCGGGGCTCATACCCCCCCGGCTCGACTCGCTCCGATGTCCACCGGTTCCGAATCCATTTGACCTCGGATTCTGATTTAGGCTTGGGTCTCTCAATGGCGGCTTTTCCAGCCTGCTGATTTCCGCCGATGCGGCTTGTCCCGACTTGCCCGCCGATTTCCTCCGATGCGAACCATTTCGATCGCCGATCCGACTCGTCGATTCAGTTCTGGGCAAACTTGGAGGGAAGGGGGGGAGAGCGAGGGGGGAGCGGAAGGGTGATGAGGATGAAGATGCGAGGAGAAATTCGAGGGGACAGTGGGACAGTGGTGGGGACGGTAGTGGTGGGGACAGTGGTGAGGACAATGGTGGGAACAGTGGGGACAGTGGACAGTGGTGGGGACGGTGGTGGTGGGGACAGTGGTGTGGGGACTGGGACTGAGGTGGAAACAGTGGGACAGTGGAGAGTACAGTGGTGGTGGGGACAGTGGTGAAGGCGGTGGCGAGGACGGCGGTGGGACAATGGGACAGAGGTACAGTGGGGACAGTGGTGGGGACATTGGGGACATTGGTGGGAACAGTGGGACAGCTCAGTGGGACAGCGGAGGAGTCAGTGGGGACAGTGGGGATAGTCGGGCAGTGGTTGGGGCCGTGGAGAAAGTGGGGAGAGTGGAACCGTGGTGGGAACAGTGGTGGGGACAGTGGGGACAGTGCGACAGTGGTGGGGGCACGTGGGGGCACTGGTGGGGACAGTAGGGACGGTGGTGGAACCAGTGGGGACAGTGGTGGTGCAGACAGTGGTGCTCGAACCGGTAGTGACCCCCCCTCCGGTTTTCGAGAGGGGGGGGGGTTCGATCGAACCCGTAGTGACCCCCCCCCCGGCTTTCGAGGGGGAGGGGGGGGGGGGGGGGTTACGGGAGGGGGGGGCTTTGCCGGGGGAGGGGAGGAGGGGGGGTCCAGCAGAGGGGGGGTGGGATTTTCGGGAGGGGGGGGGGGTGGACCCCCGGGTTCCGGAGAAAGAGGGGGGCAATTTTCCATAGTAAAGCGGCGGTGGATCACGCTCTCTTCAATATCGTTGATCAGCCTTGGGTCTACACATGTCTCAGGAGGGGAAACAACACACAGGCACAATTGATCGTCGACCCCCAAGAAAAGATGGGGAAATATGGGAAGTGGGGGGAAGACGAAAACCCAGAAAACATAGGAAAACGTAAGGGGACTCCTGGGATTTGTGTGTATCTATTTGTGTGTCCATGGGCCCCTTCAATGTCGTCATCCTCCTCCTCCTCCTCCTCCGAGAGGGAGAGAGAGAGAGAGAGAGAGAAAGAGAGAGAGAGAGAGAGAGAAAGCGAGAGTCTCCCACAAGCGACGGGGCTCAGATGGGCGCGCGAGGCGCGTTCGGCTTCTGGTTCATCAGCTGGCTGTGGGGGTGGTGACCCCCGCCCTCGCGCGGCCCGCCGCCGTCTCCCCCCACCTTGCGACCCTGCGCTCCCCATCGCCGGCCTGACCGCCTCTTCGCCTCGTCCTGTTTCGCCCCACTCCACTCAGGAGGGAAAACAAATACACATAGGCACAACTACTTAACCGGCGATTCCCCGGAAAATGTGCGAAAATATGGAAAGTGGGGGGGGAGACAGAAATTCTGAACATATGTGAAAATATGAGAATGGGATTTGCGTGTATTGATTTGTGTGCTTGTGGGCTTCTCCATCCACCACCTCCCCCTCACGTCCCACCTCCCCCTCACGTCCCTCCTCCTCCTCCTCCACCTCCTTCTCCTCCTCAGAGCTAGTGGCGCTAGTGGTGCTCGTGTCGTTCGTCGTCCTCTTCTCCTCCGCAGGGACTCAGGGCTGCAAACATTTGATTCCGTCTCCTCCTCATCCCCCTCCTCCTCCGTCTTTTTTTCTCTCTCTCTCTCTCTCTCTTTCTTTGTTTCTCTCTCTCTCTCTCGCCGTCTCTCCCCCTCTCTCTCGTATGTTCCCCCTCCCCTGCCTCTTTGTTCCACTCCTCAACGCCACTCTCGTCCTCCTCCGCCCCCTCCTCCGCCTCCTCCTCCTCCCCGTACTCCTCCCCGCACGCCGCCTCGGCCCGAGCATTTTCCAAGGGGGCGGGGGGGTGGGCGGGCGGCAGGCGGGGCGCGGGCGGAGGAGGCGGAGGGCGGAGGACGAAGTGCACGCGGAGGAGGCGGCGGCGGCGGCGGAGGACGAGGGGGAGGAGGGGGAGGCCGAGGGTGCGGAGGAGGAGGTGGAGGAGGAGGAGCGTTGGGCGAGGCGGCGGAGAAGGAGGAGCAGGCGGGGGACGAGGAGGAGGCCGAGGGCGCGGAGGAGGAGGAAGAGCAGCGAGGCGGAGGCGCAGGCAGAGGCGGCAGAGGAGGAGTGCTTGCGCGGGGCGACGGCGAGATGTCGCTGGAGGATCGCATCCTGGACACCTCCAAGCGGTTCTTGGGGGGCGCGAAATGGGTGCGGAATACACGCCAGTCATTGGAAGTATGTACTTTTGGATCCACAGGTCCCAAAATGTTTCAAGCGTCCTCCTACTTCGAGAATCGACACGTGTTGTTGTGTGGGTGTTTTCTTTGGGCGGGCCCGAACCACATCTACGTTATCCGCCTTCCTACTTCATGCTTCTACCTACTTCTTCCAACTGGCGTGTACGGAAACAACGGGCACGAAGGGCAACAGTTCTTGGTCATTTGAGCCCGGCTCGTTGTTGGCGTCGCTGCGGACGTTGATCTTTCGAAACAGAAGGTCGGTTGCCCAACGGCGGCCGCTGTTAGTTTGGGACAACCTTCGGTGGTGATCACCGTGCCCACTTGCTCTGTACCAGTTCGGGCGCTCCGAGGTTCGCCCGCGAGGTCAAGCAGGCCAAGGGGGGCGTCGCGGAGGAGACGGGGCCAGCGAAGCCGGGCCTCCTCGGCCGGCCTCCCGCTCGGGCTCGAGGGTCTTCTGTGCTGCATGCTCGTCGGTCCTCGGCGGTCTCCCTGCCTCGGAATGCGCCCCAGCAGCTGCGCCTCGCCGCAGCGTCCCAGGGGTGCCCGGGTCCTCCCGAACGGCCGCCGGAGAGCCGAGCCATGGCCCGAAAATTAGAGGGGGCCACGTCACAGTGGAGGCCCATGCCAAGAAACACCCTGCGTGCCTCCAGGGTGCCCTGTGTTTCTTAGGTGTCGATGGTTTTGCCATGGAAATCGTGACGTCCCCTCATTCAAAAATCAAGGGACGTCCTGGGGTCTCAGGGTTGGGTTTCTTGTGGAAGGTTTCTCGTGGACTGGCCTCCACTGTACTGGGGGGGGATAGATTCAGGGCCTCCTCCTCCTCCTCCTCCTCCTCCTCGTCCTCCTCCTCCTGGGTGATGCATCGGTGCCCCATCGCCTATTGATCGCCGACAGCCCACGCCGCCCAGGAGCGTGCGGAGTCGCCATGAAGGGCCTGGGCCTGCCGGGGATCTGCCGGCAGTGTGTCGCACAGTGCCAGGTGGATGCTCCCCCCCCCTCTCCCGAGCGGGTCCCTCCCTGACGTGCCCTCTCAAACCCCCCTAGGAGGAGGAGGAGGAGGAGGAGGAGGAGGAGGAGGAGGAGGCGGACGAGGAGGAGGAAGCGAAGGAGGCGGAGGAGGCGGAGGAGGCGGCGGAGGAGGAGGAGGAGGAGAGGGTGCGCATCGGAACGTTCGTCGAGATGGGAACGGAAGGAATGGGACGAAGACAAGCATCAGCTCTTGTTGATTCGGACCGGATCCAATGCCGGCCTTGCATGGGTATTGCTCGCTCGAGGCAAGAGGTCGCCACCTGCTGTTGGGCATAGTGCCAATTCTATCGTGCCAGGAAGCTGGATACACACGGCGCGGCCAACCTGGCCGAGAAGTGGATGCACATGTGGCCACGTGTCTTTCCATCGCTCGGCCCTTCAATGGCCTGGCACGCAGGGCATCCGCACGTGTGCCCAGCGCGTGGCCTCCAGATGTTCCACTTGTGAATCCAACCATGCGTGCGTGCGTGCGTGTGTCTGTGTGTTGTGTGTTGTGCGTTGTGTGTGTTGTGTGTTGTGTATTGTATGTGCTCTGTGTGTGTGCTGTGTGTGCTGTGTGTGCTGTGTTTGTTGTGTGGTGCGCGTTATGTGTGTTGTGTTGTGTGTTGTGTGTGCTGTGTGTGCTGCCTGTGCTGTGTTTGTTGTTGTGTCTTGTGCGTTGTGTGTGTTGTGTGTGTTGTGTGTGTTCTGTGTCTTGTGTGTAAGTTGTGTGTGTTGTGTGTGGTGTGTGTGTGTGTGCGAGTGAGTGCGTGCGTGCGTGCGCGTGCGCGTGCGTGCGTGCGTGTGTGCGTGTGTGCGGGTGTGCGTGTGTGCATGTGTGCGTGCGTGTGTGCGCGTGTGTGCGTGCGTGTGTGTGTGTGAACGTGTGTGAATGTGCGTGAATGTATGTGTGTGAATGTGTGTGAATGTATGTGTGTGAATGTGTGTGAATGTGAGTGTGAACGTAAATATGAATGTGAAGGTGAATGTCAATGTGTGTGTTCCAGCTTCCTGATACAAACTTCGGGCGTGCCAAGTGCAGCTGGGATCGGATCCCTCGCCTCGTCATCCCTTCTCCGCCGCTGATCTGGGCGTCGTGACGAAGGTGCACCGGGCGCATCTGCCCCGTGTCGCGCCCTGCGGACTGAGCTGGCCCCAGGAAGTGTCCCACGCGGATGAGAGCAGGGCTGGACCAAAACGCTGTTTTGTTGGATTTCGGCTGTGTTTTGTTTTCGTTTAGTGCAGGGAGGTACGGGAAAACAGGTTGAGCAAAACGAAAAACTAAACGAAAACAAAACGAAAAACAATGCTTAGGTCCAGCCCTGGAGCAGAACCCCACCACAGAGCTCTGATGGTGGCTACCGGGTATTCCACGGGCGGTCCAGCCGTTCCATTCAGGAGAAGAGCTACACTGGCAGCAGAAGAGCTTTGAACAGCATATCAGCACAGCTAGAGAGCAGAGACAGTACGGGAGACCATACGGGAGAGCACACGGGAGAGATCGTACAGAAGACTACGCAGGAGACCATATGAGAGACCACGCGGGAGGCCATACGGGAGACCATGCGAGGGGACATGCGGGAGACCGTACCAGAGACTATATGTAAGTCGGGCATGTCCCTCTACAGGAGGAATATTCAAAAATAGTCTCAACATAGTTTGGGACGATTTTTTGAGTATGATTTGACTATGTGAAGGTATGTTTTGAGTATTTGCTTTTTTTCGCCCAAAACCGCCTGTAGGGGGACATGCCCGACCGAAGACTATACAGTGAGCGGCTTGAGTAAAGAACACTTACTTTTCAAAAGGGGCTCGGTCGTTCCTTAGGTTTGCATGCGTTATTTACAGTTCCTTATGCGTTATTTGTTAGTGATCGTCCCTTATGCGTTATTCCTTGGGATGAAAAAGGGGCTTCGTTCCTTATTTATCGTTCCTTGGGTCAACGCCCCGACTGTACGGGAGACCATTCGGGAAGCCACGGGCCACAGGTCACCGGTTTGGGATCTTCAGGATCTCACACGTGCCTTCGAAAGTTATGTTGTTTTTATGCAGGCGACCTGTTTACGGGAATTCCATCCAAGGAGCAGCATTCCTCGTCACCGTTTTTGTTTTTTTTGTCCTGCCCCTTCCCAGCCGCGCTGGGGATGCTGTATGGGAGGTCCAGCGCCGACCCAAGAACAGTCCGCACGGAATTCCCAATGGAAGTATGTCTGGGGGCATGGGGAAGCAATTGCACCTTGGTTGCAGAAGACCCTAAACACCATAACGAAAGAGTAATGAGAGCACTTCACTGTACTGCACATACGGGGGACCAAACGCGAGAGCTTGTGAGGAGAGCATGCGTGAGGCTGTACGGATGGGCACGCGGGAGAGCACACGGGGAACGATGCGGGAAGCCACACGGGATATCATACCGGAGACAATACGGGAAGCCACACGGGTGACTATGTCGGAGACCATTCGGGAGACCCTCTGGGAGACCACGTGGGGGACCATACGGGAGACCGTGCCAGCGACTAGGCGGGAGACCACAGCGGCAGACCACACCGGGAGACCATAACGGCAGACCACGTCAGAGACCCATGCTTGAGACCCTGCGAGAGAGACCACGGGCCTTCTTTGGGCCACCGATGTTTTGTTCCGGAGGCCTCCCTTCTTGCCGCAGGAGGGGAGCTGGAGGGTGTCTCCGAAGGGCTTAGGCGACCCGTCCTCCTCCTCCCTCCTCCTACTCCTCCCTCCTCCTCCTTCTCCTCCTCCTCCTCCCTCCTCCTCCTTCTCCTCCTTCTCCTCCTCCTCCTCCCTCCTCCTCCTCCTCCTCCTCCTCCTCCTCCTCCTCCTCGGGTCGCCTACGGCCCCGGGGAAACCGTGCAGAGGGGAGGTAAAGGACCCTTACAGACGAGTTCCCCAAAGAAGAACAAACAAAACTTGCAGCTTCCGTTTCGATCCGATCGATTCGATGCGGTATCGATGTTGGCGGGCCCGATCCGATTCCATTTCGGTATTCCGACGAGCCGATGCGGCCCAATGTTTGCATGTTGTGGTTGTGTATTTTGGCGCAGCCAATCTGATTCGTCCTCGGCCTCGTACCGATGCAGTCCGATTCCACTTCGAATCGACTCGATGTCCCGATTCGATGCTGACTATTATTGCCCCTTCGCCGCAGGAGAGGGTGAGCATGGCGAAGTCCCTCCAGGCCGAGCGCGAGAGCCTCGCGGAGGAGCTGCGGCAGAGGCAGCAGCAGGTGGCGTCGTCTTCGTCGTCGTCCTCCTCCTCCTGCTCCTCCTTCTCCCCCTCCTCCTCCTCCTCCTCCTCCTCCTCCTCCGCCTCCTCCTCGTACTTCTCTCCCCCTCGTACGCCTGCGCGGCGTTAACGGGGTTCGCCATCGTTCCGGGGCGATGCTGGTCCCGCCATTGGGGGTCACCCCATTCTTCCAACGATAGTCTGGTTTCCCCACAAGACGGATTGCGCAGAGTCCTAAGCCAGGTTCGGTTTGGGTGGAGCAATTGATTTGGACTCCCCGCGCATTGTTCAATGCTCATGGCTCCTCACTTCCTCCTCCGCCTGCTCCTCCTCCTTCCC